ATATTTTTATTGATTTCAGAGAGAAAGGGAGAGGGGGAGAGAGACAGAAACATCAATGATGAGAGAGACTCATTGATCCGCTGCTTCCTGCATTCCCGCTGTTGGGGATCGAGCCTGCAACCCAGGCACGTGCCCTTGAGTGGAGTCGAACCTGCGACCCTTCAGTCCACAGGCCAATGCTCTATCCACTGAGCCAAACTGGCTAGAGCCAGGATATTTTTTCCTCATTGCTTTTCTGAGAGTGGAAGGGGAGGGAGGGAGGGAGGTATGTAATCTTATTTTGGTGTTTTGTACTTTGTTACTGAGTAAAATCATTTTAGACATTAAGTAGTGGTCTGAAGTGGGTTGCAATAGCAAGGAAACTGCTGAGTGGCCAAGAGAAGTAGAGAACCTTAGGCCTCTTCTCATTGGCCCTTCTACCACGTTGTCTAGGAGTTACAGATTAAATTAGGATAGTTTATAACTTCATTACCTCACAGTTTTAAGTCCCCTAAGGAACGAAGCCAGGCGAGGAGGCAGATATATCTATTAGAGCCTGGTGTGTGTGTGTGTGCGCGCGCGCGCGCGCGCGCGCAGGAAAACAGTGCGGCTTGAAGAGTGGCATTAAATTCTCATGTAGAGTGTCTTTGCAGGGACTCAAGAGGAAAGTATGGAGGATTATAAAATAGAAAATCTCTGGTCTTAATCCAAACCCCAGTATTTACCCAGCTCTCTATCTCACAATTCATAGCCCAAGATAGTTCCATTTGGAACAATTCAACAAATACTTACGGAGTACCTGCAGTGTGCCAGGTACTGAGTGCTAGGCCTGTGCTAGTGAACAAAACATACAAAGTCCCTGTTCTTGTGGCACTTAATTTTTAAATGGGGCAAATAGAGAATAACAAATATATACTATGTCAGGTAGTAAAAGATGCTTGTTTCGGGTATTTTTTGCTGTGTAACAATGTACCACAAAATTTTCTGACTTAAAATAACACTTATTGTTTCTGACAATTCTGTTGGTAGAAAAGGGCTCATCTGCATGGTTCTTTAACTGGTCTTAGAACCCCTCATTGGCAGATGGCTTTAGAACATGACATAGCTTCCTCACCCAACACCGCTGTCAGGTGGTCCTTGTTGTTTGGGTGCTCAACGGAGGCTTCAGTTTTTTCCCCTTGGCCTCTCCTTTTGGCTTGGGCTTCTCACAGCATGATGGCTGCGTTCTAAGAGGGGGTTTTCCAAGTGTGCAAAGGCAGAAGCTGCAGCTTTTTAAAGGCCTACTCTCAGAAATTACATTGTCACGTCCACCACATTTTATTGGTCAAAACAGATCACAGGGAGGGAAAATGGACTCTTTTTTTAAAAATATATTTTTATTGATTTCAGAGAGGAAGGGAGAAGGAGAGAGAGATAGAAACATCAATGATGAGAGAGAATCATTGATCGACTGCTTCCTGCACATCCCCTACTAGGGACCAAGCCCGCAACCCAGGCATGTGCCCTTGACCAGAATCGAACCTGGGACCCTTCAGTCCACAGGCCGATGCTCTGTCCACTGAGCCAAATCGGCTAAGGCTGGACTCACCTTTTGATAGGTAGGGATAACAAGATCACATTGCAAAAGAGTACATGGGGTGGAAGATATGGCTGTGGCCATCTATGGAAACAGTCTACCACAGTGCTATTAAAAAATTAAGCAGGTTAATAGGGGAATAGTGCAAATGAAGGTTAGAAAGTATTCTGTAGGAGGTCAGGGAAGGCGTCCTTGATGAGGCTGCATGAGAGAGTGAGCCATGAGAACCATAAAGACATCTTAGGGAAGAATATTTCATGCAGAGAGAACAGGAAATATAGAAGAAGCCTTAGGGTAGGAGAATCACTGATGTGAGCAAGGAATAGCAAGGAGGGCAACGAGTGGAGGGATAGAGGGAGAGTGGTAGGGCATGGAGTCAGAGAAAGTGAGAAACAGACTTTGTAGCTCATGACAAAGGACTTTGGATCTTCTCTGAATGAGGTGGGAATCTATTGAAAGATTCTGAGCAGAGGAATTATGTGATCTGATTTAAATTTTAAAAGAATCTCATTCTGAGAATCTCTGGCTACTGTTTTGAGAATAGGCTGTAAGAGGATAAGAGTAGAAATAGGAAGTCAAATCAGTAGGCTAGTTCCTTGTGATGATAGGCTAAGTAGTGATGAATAGTTGGGTTTTGGATATATTTCAAGGTGGGACTGACAGGATTTGCTGGTGAGGGTGGATATGGGGAGAGAAAGCGGGACCAAGGATGATTCTCAAAGTTTTTGCCCTAGGTACCTGGAAAATTGGAATTTTCATTTACCAAGATGAGAAGACTGGGGGAGGAACAGGGTGGAGGTGAGGGAGATGTAAAACTTGTATTTTTGGCCAAGCTAAGAAGAATCTAAGAAGACATCTGAGGGGGGAAAAAGGTTACTAAATGTTACTTCCTCATTGCAGGTGTGACGTTGAGTGCTTCAGATCTGGTCACTATGGTACGAGAACGAAAATGCATATTGTGCAACATCGTGTACAGCTCAAAAAAGGTAATAATAGAAGAGGGAGAATCTGAGGCTTTGTGACTGGTCTTTTTTGTTGTTAATCCTCATTGATTTTTAGAGAGCAGAAGGGAGGGAAGTGGGGGAGAGAGAGAGAGAGAAGCATCAATGTGAGAGAGAAACATCGACTGGTTGCCTCATGCACATACCCCCACCAGGGTGGGGAATTAACCTGCAACCCAGGTATGTGCCCCTGGCCAGGAATCGAACCCAAGACCCTTTGGCGCACGGGTTGATGCATCACCACTGAACCACATGGCCAGGGCATGACTGGTCATTTTTTCAGAGACATCATATGAAATTTATAGATGGGTAAAAGCTTTTATTTTTAAAAATCGTTATTGTTGAAAGTATTACATATGTCTCTTTTCCCCCTCCCCCATTGACCCCTTCTAGCCTGCCCAATGGGTAAAAGCTTTTAATGCTGTCTTATTTATGCTTCTTTCTTAAACCATAGTCTCATTCTACTGGTTTCTTTCTCATTACTGCCTCATAAAGCCAGTAACTATATTATTAAACCTCTACCCAGAATCTGAGGATACTCAAAAGTAGATAATAAAGAGAAATTTAGTTAATAGTTATGGAGAAAATACCTTAACATTTAAGTTATTTGAGGTTATACTACTTTCTGATTAGCTGAGAATAACTAAGGATACAGCATTATGTTCGCCTGCATTCCATTTCTGCCTATGCTTGTGAAAAGTGCAGGACAGCAGAAATGGTATTAATAATATCCTCGATGTCCACAGGGTGGGGATATTGCTCCAAGAAAAACAGACATTTTTGAGAACGAAAAGAATTTCCCTGTGCCTAGGGAAGTTGGCTGCAAGTTGTCTCACTTTTTGCTTTTTCTTGCCTTTATCCTTTGCTTTCAAAGTAGTGCAGCTAGCTTAAATATTGAGGATTTTTTTCTCTATTCTTTTAAGATGTTCTTTAATATTGGGAATTCAGATAACGGGGAAGGTCATTGTGAGCTCTCTGAAAGATATTTGGAAGTAAGATGGTTTGAAATAAATAGAGAAGAGACATTTTGGGTGAGAGAACGTGTACAAAGATACAGAGGTATAATGGCATATAACAGTTCTAGGAGTTGGTAAGAAGGCTCATCTGATTAAAACAGTTTCGTCTTGGGAATGGTGGGACTGTAATTTAATTTGTAATTTAAGTGGAAACAGTAAACAGTGTTGAATGCAAGACTGAGGGGTTTGACTATGGTCCATCGAGTAGGCTGAGATGAAGAATTTTTTTTTCCTTACAGGATATCTGATAGTGATGGAAAAGTAAGTTGAGATTTCAAAATCATTCTATCTAATAAAGAGGGAATGTGCTAATTGACCCTCACACTGTCGCAAAGATGGTGGTGCCCACAGCTAGTAAGGAGGGGATATGCTAATTGACTGTCATGCCCTCAAAGATGGTGGCGCCCAGTCCCCTCAGCCTCCCAGCTGCCCAGGGCCGGCCCGAGGCTCAGGTAACCAGGGCAGCCGAGGCTTGCGCTGCTGGCAGTGGCAGCAGCAGAGGTGTGATGGGGCATCGCCTTCCCCTGATCGCTGGGTCGCCTCCCGCCCCTGAGGGCTCCTGGACTGTGAGAGGGGGTGGCCAGGCTGAGGGACACCCCCTCCAGTGCATGGATTTTCATGCACAGGGCCTCTAGTGTTTAATATTATACCTGCTGCCTTTTACAAAAGTAAAAAACAAAACAAAAAACTGCTTTTCTAGTTTTAAAAAATTTAGATCAGGGTTTACACAAATTTTCCATAAACAAAAATCCCTTATGGCTACTTTCAGATTGAAGGGATCGGAAATTGATAAAGCGTGAGGTACATAGATAGACACTCAGAGGTGTGAACTCGGACTTTGATGGAGTAGTAGCTCTATCTTGTGATATTTCATAATTTTGCTATTTTAAGTCTTTTCTTCTACTCTGGTTTGAAACATATTTTAGTATCTTCACACTTTTATATGGATCATAATGAAGTTAAATCAAGGACTGGGACTATCCTTAGGCAAAGCCAACTACAGGCCTTTAAGCAAGGAAATGGCATGATTTAAGTGTTAAGATTAATGTGGTCTAAGAAATTAGCATTATAGGTAATTGAAAGAAATAGCTCTGATACTATTTTTAGATAGATCATGAACAACTTATGTTGAGGCAGTGCACTCTCTAGTTTCCCAAAGTAGTGTAACTCTCATTTTTTCCAAATACGCTGTGGAGGAAAAAGGAATCTTAGGTTGACTTTTAAGTATGAGCTGTTTATTCCATCCCTGAGTATCCTGATATTCATTAATTTATCAAAGACTGAAAAGCCCTCCAGTTAAAAAATATATATTTAAAAAGTTGTTTTGTTTTTTAAAAAATATTTTTATTGATTTTTAGAGAGGGAGGGAGAGGGAGAGGGAGAAAGAGATAGAAACATCTACACTAATAAAAGAGAAACATGGTAATTAGTGTACGACCGCTACCCTTCCCATTGGCTAATCAGCATATCCTTATGCAAATTAACTGTCAGCCAAGATGGTGGCCGGCAGCCATGCACTGAAGCGAACAGGGAGGCTTGCTTGCTCCGGTGACTGTGGACTCCAATGTTCCGCGCCTGACTTGCCGGCCTCTCAGCTGCAACTCTAAGGAACTATGTTGGCAAATATAGAAGCTAAACAAAACCCCAGAAACCAGCTTTCAGTCAGCCGGGCTTCAGCCAGCCGGACCGCAACATTGTATCAAATACAGAAGGTAAAGGCCAGAAACCTGCTTTCAGCAGCGAGGCCTCAGAGCTAAAGCTGGCCCAGAATAGAAAAA